CTGCATGTCTGGATGCGTAGGATACGTCCGAGACGGGGTGGCCCGTGGCTTGGCCCATTGGTCGTCGTCGTCGGCGCGTCGCTACCCCGTCCGTGTTGGGTTATGCGAGGAAATGCGGAGAATCCTGGTTTGTTCCAGATTCCCGAAATCTGGATCGGTTCGGCATCAACGGGCTTGTGATGTCGAGCCTTCTTTTTTTTTTTTCTTTTTCCTTTGGGATGGCTCGCTGCTCGCGGACAGAGATTCGGTAGACCTGGATCGTGGGTAGGTACCTAGGTAGACATTGACGGTACGTGCCATCTCTTCAACAGCAAGACCAGCGTCCCGTACCGCGATTCTTTGCCCCAAGACTTCCGCAACGGCTCGTCCTCTCGGAGCCGGCAAGATTCCAAGATCGCCTAGCCCTGGAGTTCCACTCCTGCGTCTTCTCCCCCCGCTGGAAATCGCCGATCAGCACCCTCCCAAAAGTTAACCAGTTTCTTCTTTCGGCAGGTTGATGGGGGTGGGGGGGGGGGGGGGGGGGGGATCTGAGGAAGCCCGCGAGCGATTAAAAACAGACTTGACAGAATACCATGCCGCGGCTGCGATTTCTCTCAAGCTCTGGAAGTACCTGCGTATAGGGACGGGATTCTGATTTGTGGAGGATGAAGGAACATGATTTCCGTGCACGATTGCATTTGCTTCTCGGACTCCCTGTACGGCGCTTCAAGGGTCCCCCGCGAGAGGCACTCCAAGCTTGCCAAATGCAGTGGGGGATAATTGCCTGGTAGGGTTGGGTGTTCGTCATCTGAATAGAACTGAGAAGTAAGGCGGCGAGTCCAGTACTGGTATTCCCAGCCAGAGCCATCTTCATGTCTCCTCTCCGTCACCTGCCCGGCTCAGCATGGAGAACCACCGTTGAAACTACACTTTGTAGCCATGAGAAACCGAGTCACCCCACACAGCATCCCCTCTTTTCAAATCGTTTTATCGCTATCGAGATGTCGCATGTTGGCAGGAATGATTGCATTGGTGTTGTATGAACAGATGATCTCTTGCAAGTTCCCAGGCACTTCACTGGTGAGAAGCGGTCAGTCGATGCAGTATAGTCGGCAAAGTTGCGGCACGGCTCCGGGAATTAGGGGTCCCCAAAATGCGCATTTTGCCGGCTAATGCAGTATTTATACCATGCAATGCAAATATACCATACATACCACCAAAACCGCCCATTATACACTACACCTATATACACAACCAACCAACAACACCCATTTTTTGCACTAAAACTGCCCGACTTACCAACTTCAATAACAACAACTCCCGCAACCTCCCATTTTACCTACATCTCGCCCATTTTACAGCTTCATTTACGCCGGAGGCCACAGGGGGGGGGGGCAAAGAGACTGCAAGGGCATAGGTGCTAGAGGGTGCGCAGGGGGGAAGCCGAAAAAAGTAAACAATTATTTATCGATAGGTGCAAGTCTTCGCTAAAGTTACCATTTCTGGTTAGCGTAATACACTATGCGCATAGTAGCTGGTCCATACGGTATAAATACATGCATTGCATGCATTATGCAACAAGTGTATAATGCCCAACCGAACCCTACCGGGAATAGACAGGCCTCCGCATGTTCATCACTCAATGAAGAGGGCAGACGACGCTAGACTGAGGGGATCATCCTCCATCTGCTCCGAATCGGGCCTCGCTGAGGAGTCGTTGAGGAGGGGAAAGGAAAACCCATGATGGTCCAGACAGGCAGGTAGGGTACCAAAGCGTCGGATGGTATCCAGAACTATAAAATAGATAGACTACCAAAGAACCTCGTCGAGACTAGTTTTGAGGCCCATCTATCTCCTTCGGCGCACCGGCTTCCCGAAACGGTCATTGTGGGAAGGCCAGAGGCAAGAAAGCATGAAGACCGCCATCGACCTTCGCCGTAGCCTACCCGCCCTGGCCGCGCTCAGCTCCCTACCGTTAGCCACGGCAATCACGGCAGGGCCCGAGGTAGGGTCGTCTACCTCCGACATCATCCCACCGACAGGCAGTGAGTAACCCGGCTCCGGCTCCGGCTCCACGGCAGCCATGCGTATATCCCGACCCCGCGTACGGTGCGCAGCCTCGGTAGACCGGGCGCTCTTCCCACCCGAGCCCGTCGTCGGGTTCGCGGGCGCGCGACGCTGACCGGGGCCGAGCCCGCCGCCGTCCAGACCGCGCCGGTGTTCCCGGACCACGACCGGGGGGGGCAGTTTTCCGCCGGCGGCGCCGAAGCCGAAGCGCGGCCACGACGACGAGTCAGAGTTCGCCATGATGAGGTACTGGGTGGGGCAACCTGTCGCCGCGGTACACGGTGCCGTCGGCCTCCCGGGCGCCGCCAGCCCGCGGCTGGTGTCCCCCCGGCCGGCTGCGCCTGCTGTACCGGCACCGGGGCGCGGTACCCGACGACGGGGGGGCAGCGGCAGCGGCAACTCGCTGCCGGCGGCGTTCGCGGCGAAGCTGGCCGCCGCTACCGCCCAAGAAGGGCGGGCTGGGGGTCTCCGGGGAGCTGGGGTTCCTGGCGGTACCGGCTGGGCGGGGAGCTGCTGAACAACGTCACGGCGGCGGGCGCCCTGCCGGTCTTCCGCACCCAGAGCCGGGACCGCATGGTCGGGACGGCGGTCAACTTCGCCGCCGGCTTCTTCGGCGTCCCCGAGTACCGCGACCAGGTCAGCCTCGGTGATCCTCGTCGAGGCCCCCGGCGTCGACGACTCCGGCGCCCCCTACGAGGTCTGCGACAACGCCAACGTCGCGGGCCGCGGCGATCTCGGCACCGCGGCTGGGCTCGAGTTTGGGGGGGATGTGTTCCATGAGACGGTGGACCGGCTTAACTCGCAGGTGGGTTGTCGTGGTCTGTGATGTGCGATGGTCTTGTCTTGATGAGGGGATCCAGCAACATTGACACGCAATCGACCAGGTCCAGGGAATCACGTTCGATGCCGTGGATGTGGTGTCCATGCTTCAGCTGTGCTCGTACGAGACGGTCGCGCTGGGCTACTCCACGTTCTGCGAGCTGTTCGGCGAGGAGGACTTCCGGAACTACGAATACATCTTCGATCTCGTACGTACCGTATCCTACGTGTGCCCACATCCACTCCTCGTTCCGGCTATGTTGGCTAGGTAGGTATGACGTGCCAAAGCGCCGACCGGCCCAGAACTCCTACTACACCAACGGACCGGGCTCGCCGGTCTCGGCAGCGCAGGGCAAAGGGTACCGGCAGGAATTCATGGCCCGTTTCACAGGCGAGTACCCGCCGGCGCTTAACGCGACGTTCGACAACTCGGACGTCCGCCTACTTCCCGCTGAACCAGTCCATCCACGCCGACGCCACGCACGAGGTGGTGGTGATGGACACGCTGATGGCCTTCAACCTGACCGCGCTGTTCGCGGGGCCGCCGCTGCGCGTGGGCGACTGGTCGGCGCGGGACCGCGGCCGCTTCGCCGCCAGCAAGGGGGTGCCGTTCGCCACGCACTTCACGGTGCAGGTGCTCTCGTGCCCGGCGTACCGGCCGACCAAGCAGATCCGCTTCATCCTGTGAGTTTCTTCTTTCCGTCCTAGGCTCGGCAAGAGAGAAACTGACCGGACTTCTAGCAACGACGCCGTGGTTCCCGTCGCGGACAGCTACCCCGGCTGCCCCGAGGATCCCCACGGACTGTGCGCGTTCGAACACGTCGTCGAGGTCCTGAAAGACCGCATCGGGGAGGTCGACTTCGACTACGACTGCTTCGCCAACTACACGGCCGAGGCGGGCCACGGTTACAAGGGCAGAGCACCGATGGTCTTGATGTGCCTGGATTCCAGACCGTGTGGTGGTCAAGGGGTAGAAAGACACAGCGGTCCTATCGATATTTCATCGGTTTGGATACCGGTAGATTTGATCTTGCGGGTATCCCAATATACCAGATTCGAACCAACATTCGCATGATTTCCATCCGGGTAAGCCCACGAATAATGGGGCGACTGGGGAAACTCCAGATGAGAACATGCAGCAGTCATCAGCTCGCAGCATTGAGTGAGTCCGCCTATACACGAATCGAGCCCGGAAGCCGAAAACGGATGAGCATCGCATCGCATCGTGAGTCACAGCCCTAACCTGGGAGGACCGCCGTAAGTAGGTGTCCAAAGCAGTATCGTTATCTACACGATTAAAATCAGCATCTCCACATCAATTCCAAATGGCGCAATGGGATAGGCAGTGGCTCGAAGCATCGAGTTGTCACCCACCATTGTAACGAACAAGCCAGCATCTTGGAGCAGCGGAAGCTCGTCGGGCTCATAACCCGAAGGTCGCTGGATCGAAACCAGCAGATGCTATCATGAATTGAATTTTTGATTCAGTGTCTGGTCGCTCTCTTGTTCTCTTTCTTTTTCTATGCCTGTTGGTTCTCGACTGCCAGTCTTGGAGGTTGCTTGTTGAAGAACTATCAATTTTACATGAACCGTCAAGCTGCATGTGGTTTTATTGTTTGAAGCTGTCGTTCACCATGATTGATTGCCTTTTAGCAGTTGATGGTATTGAACTTCTTGTTATTGCAGATTCCCACTTACCATGAACCTATCTGCAAATATCCTCTTGCCCGGTAGGTAGGTACCTAGTCGTCAATCATCAAATAGATTCATTAGTGATCAAGAGCCGTAGTGTGTCGGCGTGGCCGCCACCATGTACTAAGCGAAGCACGGACGCACAGTCCCGTCTTGGTGCACAGGAATTGTGAGTGGAAAATTCACATGCGCCACAGCGTCCGTCGTCTACCGGTACAACCCTCCAAGCCTCACCAAGCTCAACCCTCCAAATTCCATCAAGGCTTTTGGGAAATATCACAACCAGACAAGAGTGTCAATGAGTGTCGCAGCCATATGACAAAAGAAACATGTTACCTGTGACCTCTAGACGCTGGTGACTAAGCCCGGATCCAACCCCAGAAGTCCACCCGCGACCACAGCAAAAGAATCAGGTTGGTCACGCTCACAGAGCGTGTGATGACTGCACAAGCCGGGAGTCGAACCCGAAGCTCAAGCTACCGCGTAACAGTGGAAGGCTTGAATGTTACCGCTACACCACTTGTGCGAGAGACGATGTTACTCGGATGGTTGAATTACTCGATTCGTAAAATGCCTCATGTAGGCTGGGAGTGGTAAGGGGCTACACCACTCGTTGGTGGGGACGGGAGTTCGGATGGAGGGTGGGGGGCGGAGGGGGAGAAAGGGGGGGGGATTGGTTGGCTGGGTCAGGCTAGAACTTCGGTGGGAGTTTGCTGCTCGTGTGTGTGTGTTTGTGTGTCGACGAATGGTTGTACAGAGGTACCTAATAAGAGGGAGTTCCCTCAAAACCCCGGGCATGACTTTTACCAGTAGTACGGCGACGGGAATGCTCATCTAGCGAGTCGGTGTGTTCTTGCGCCGGTTGGCGCGAGTCATGGCCGCCAAGATTACCTAGGTAGGTACAGCGGGATCTCCGAGAGTTTGCGCCTGGCGCACGGCGCACCCACGGCAGCTAGTAGGAGGTAGATACTTAAGTAGGTACGCGGTAGTCAGGCCGACGGAATACCTACCATCACCACTGGCACGATCATCATGTTCCTGTTTTCAATCAAGCCCCGAGTTGAACAATTACTGAAGCGAGACCAACGACAACGAGATTGCCCCGATGGAGGTTCCTGATATGCCAGCAGCACCAGGCGGCAGGTTTACGCGATTCGCACGTCTCGGGCTACGCAAATTAGAGTGAGACTCGACTACCAGGAAAAGAATCCAGCACGACCAATAAGCGAATCTCCTCGCTTCCTTCGTAGCCTGCCTACCCGAACGAGGCTTCAGGGCATACCTATGTACTATCGGAGACGGGCGTTTAAGGAGAGCGTGGAATCGAGGGAAGAAGAAGACTTGGAAGACCGCAGCTGCATACACCCAAACTCACCCGAGTGCCAGGCAATGATACCTAACAACTCCCTTGAACTGTTACTGGAGACGTCAGTAACACAGGGGGAGGCCAGACGCGTGACCAGGTAACACCAAACCAATGTGCCCGATCGATCACCAGCCGTAACGGATCCATTCGGGTCTGGAGCCGCAGCATGGAAATCATTCCTCAGGGCTGCTGCCAGGCTACCATCAGACCTCACTGCCGACCTATATATACTTTGCGATTGACAGGAGGTAGGTAGGTAGGTAGGTGTAAGCTCCAGAACCGAAGCATTCGAGCCACAGACAACAAACACCCTGGCCAAATATATAGATGGCCTTGCAAGTGACGCGAGACTAGTAGACCCAGAGAACGCAGTGCTTAGTCCACTGACCTCCTCATGGCGAGCCTTGACAACCGACTGACTTCCTGCTATCTCAGGGAACAGCCACAACTCGCCAGATCCCCTACTCATAACCACCAGTTTGCTGCTCTCCCACAGCACGGAAGAAGTTTCCCTGCTATGACTCCAACCCGCCAGAACGCCGTGTTCACTCCAGACACACACACACACACAATTCAAAGCACAACCATTCTTTCTGCGCGAGGTTCGCTGGGGCTGGCTGGGACGCGACGCGACGGACGCGAGGGTGTCGCGAGAACATAAGGCGGGCATGTACGTTCCCAGTCCATGCGGCCCCCCGTACGAGGTAGTTTAGCTGCTCGACCGTTCTCGATGTTCGAATATTAGCCTTATAAGATCCTCGCTGCACCGGTCGTACGCTGTATCCCATGCGGTCTGTCGCCAGGCCTTCCGCTCCTATGTCTGCATATCACTTACTGGGAGAGAGCACACACACACACACACACACACACACACACATACCAGGTACCAAATAGTTAAAGTTAACGTAGGAAGGAATATCCGAAAAACTTTTTATCAACACCCCGGGGTATAATGCTGCAACTATGTACCTGTACCTATGTACCTGTCTGTCTGTCTGTACCTCCCATCTCTCTATCGTCCTCAATCCTCGTACAGCGGCTCCAACTCGTGCGCCCTCGCGCCGCCGCCGCCGCGGGACTCCTTCCACCAGCGGGACGGCCGGCCGGGGTTTTCCGGGTCCGACGGCGACGACGACGAAGCCGAAGACCAGCGCGTAGGCGAGAGCATGCGCGTGACGCGCGTGACCCCGTCCACGCCCAGCCGCTTGATGCCGCGCAGGCCGCGGCGGCGGTAGAGCACGGCGAAGCAGGCGAGCGCCAGCACCAGCACCAGCACGCCCGTGACCACGTCCTCCACCAGCGTGCTGGGCGCGTTGCCGTAGTACCGGTCCACGATGCCCGTGTGCGAGAGGACGTTGCCCTCCCTGTCGACCGCCGCCACCCGCAGGTACTGCGGCATGCCGCTCTCCATCGGGAAGCCCGTCTCGAACGCCTCCTTCTTGACCGTCGCCACCTCGCTGTACTTCTCCGCCGCCACGTCGTCCCATTCGGCGCCCTGCAGCACCCATCGGTCGACTTCCGTCGCCCCGATCCAGCTCACGAACAGCTCCCCGTCCGACGGGTTCAGGAAGACGTCGGGCCGGTCCTTGGGCCGACCGACCCAGTTTCTGGATTTGAATGTCCGGTAGGTGGTGACAAGTCCCCAGCGGGAGGTGAGCCAGGGAGCCAGCTGGTAGCTGCACATAACGTCGCCTTCGAGGGAGAATTCGGTCATGTGGGGAGTAAAGCCCCATCCCATAACCACCCGGTCATCCATGACCTGCGTAGAGCCTTGCGAATCCGGGTACTTGGGGTCTTCGGGGCTGAAATACTCCTGCACCAGCGTCGCCGTCATCCGTTTGGTGTCGAGCTGTACCACCATACCCCGGCTGTGGTCGTACTTCATGGATGGGCCCTGACGCTCCGCCTTCGCATTGTCGAATATGCTGATGGTGTAGTTCTCGTGTAAGCGCACGTGGTGCTGGTACTGGAAATCCGTGGCACGCCCGTCCGAGAGGTCCTTGAACTGGTTCATCCGGCCACCCAGCTGCCAAAGCACTCGTCCGTCCTCCTTGCTGATGCCGAAGATGGAGGAAGTGTGACGGCCAGAGATGATGTAGTTGCCCTCGGGATCCTTGTCGACACTGTTGATGTGGAAGTAGTCGAATGCGTAGTCCGGCACTGTACCGTCATCCGGGCCCTTGTAGTAGCGGACAATCTGATCGACGGGTTGATGTTCGATGGAGCTCCAGTGGAACAGCAACTCGCCCGTCTCGATGTCGATTTCCTGAAACATGGAATCCAAAACCCAACCCTTCTCGGGACCTCCGACGGCGCTCAGATCCGCGGGCTTGGAGCTGTACATGGTCATCAGGGCAGTGCCCTCCTCGGTGATGCGGAACTCGTGCAGGTCACCCTTCAGACCCTCGCCGACGGGAGAGACGGTCTTGAACTGCTCGTAACTGCTGTCGAGCATGTAGAAGGTACCCTTGCCATAGCCGTGGAAACTACCGGTCAAGCTGGACCAGAAGGTGAGATAACGCTCGCCCTTGTAGGACTGGACCTGGAAGTCAGTGACCATGCCATACTTGTCGTCCTTCCAGATCAGGTTGCCACGGGCGTCGGTGATGACGGGCCCGGAGTCCCAGACAATCTTGCCTTTCGGGGCGAAGAAGTAGTAGCCGCCGTCGTCGCACTGGTCGGCGTCCCAGTGAACAAAGTTTAGCCGGGGCGAGGCGTGCGAGTAGGACTTGTAGTGGTTCTCCGGGTACAGGCCGTACCAGCCCAGGTTGTACAGCGCCTGGGAGGAGAAGACGTCATGCGGCTGGGGCTGAGCCTGGGTCTGGGCCTGGACCTGCGAAAGTCTGGCGGGCTGTGAGGCGAGGCTGAAGAGGAGGGCGCATATCAGGCGGGCGAAGGAGATGGGGCGCGCCATGATTTTTTTTTACGTCCGATTAACTAAGGTAAGGTACCGGTGCCGCATCTACTCCGTACCAGGGGTCGCGCACGAGGACGACCGACCGAGACAATGGCCGGACAGGAGCCGGACGGACACGCAGCTTGCAGCTTCACGGTAGCCGAAAGGTAACGGCTTCTCGGCGGGAGGGAGGAGGAGGAGGGAAGGGGGAAGGGGGAAGGGGGGCGGAAGGGAAGAAGAGGGGAGAAGGTAAGGAGGCAGTCATTCGCGACAACGGTCTTCATCTATTTATTGCCATGGATGATCTGAGCAGTGAGCCGGGGGACAAGCGCAAGAGCCAAGACGACGGAGCGGTCGAAGATTAGAACAGGAGAGCGAACAGGAAAAAAAAACAGTGGATGAGGGCGATGGAGTATTGTATGTAATACGAATAGGAATACGGAGGTCTCTAGTCTTTTTTTGCGACGGGGAGGGAGTCTGGCAGTCTGGGGGGGGTTTTGGGGGGTGCTTGGGGGGGGGTGCTTGGTTGACTGGAGTCGATCAGACAGAGAGGACTGCTTGGCTGACGGGCGTACAGTGGCTGTTTCGGTAGAGGATGATGTTTGAAGCCGCGCGTCGTTACTTATGGTGAAAGAATGAAAGAATGCGGCGATGGATGGAGGAGTTGAGGAATTGATACTGATATTGATACCTTAGGTAGCAAGTAAGTAAGTAGCGATGGAAGGAAGGATGGATGTATGTAGGTAGGTAAGTACTATGCAGTGAATTGTTATTAGGTGGTCGTTGGTGAGAGCTTGGAACGGGAGGTGTCAATGAGGTGTCCATGAGAACAGAGGGCGGCAGGCGGTTCAGGGACTGCCGTCCAGGGACACTATCGCCGCCGCCAAGCGCCCGACGCGACTGGCTGGCAGGACTGGCACGACTGGGTTAGATCACTGCCAAGCCCGACTAGAGAGCGCTACCAACAGCCCCAATACTGGGGCCTCATTGGGGGGGGGCTTGGGGGGTTTGGGGCTTCTTCACCAAGCCCAGCCTTGAACCCGGATTCCTTCACCACGAATAGAACAAATTCGCATCACATCTCTCCAACAAGCTACGGTACTCACGGGCCAAGAGATCCATTGACCAACCAACACACCAGCGCATGCCAGCTGAGGCTTGGTATTCATCCTTCGAGAAACGTACTCCCTCCACCATGCCAATCCATGTGTGTCGATCGATGTGTCTGTCATGCGTCGGTGAGCCGTGGTGTTGGTACCAACTG